GAAATATAATGAAGATAATGAAAGTCGGAATTTTTACTGTTAGAGAAGACACTTATGGCTACAAAGAACCCTGAGATATATTTGAATTAGAGAAATTGGTATGAATTAATGATTTTTAAATATCTATATAAAGGCTGATGTAGAAATAACTATAGATTTATGTGTGTATTTATGTATACATGCACGTGCAACACACACACACACACACACACACACACACACACAGTTCTCTTAGGAAATGAAACAGGACCTTTCTTCCATTTTTACTCCCAGTTCTGCACACTTTATTGATCGCCATGCCCCAGATGATCCCAGCAAGAGAAATCCCATCTTTTAGCTTCTGTGATGTCTGAACTCTTACTGAGGACCAGTTTCCAGGGTCTTTCCAGGGGCAGAATATTTGCAAAGAAATTACTGCATGCGGTCCTTCCCTATTCATGAACATCTGTCTGAGCTTTTCTACAGAAACCAATCTTATGAGATCTGAACAGGCACTTTCCCCCCATTCTTTCATATCAAGCTTTTAAAATGGCCTTCCCTCTCAGCAAGCATACACTTTTCTATTTGAGTAAAACATAGTCCATAACTGGGAAACCAAAAACATGCCATTGTATGAAGTTTAATAAGCATTTTATCAAGTTTCACTACAAAGTTCAAAGAAAACAACTACACAATATGTATCCATAAATAGTTACAGGTATAGGTATGAGGGTAGGGATAGAGATAGACTGACACATACAAAAATGATATTTTTAAGCACAACCAGCCTGAGTTCCAAAGATAGGTTAGGGTGACAATGGTTGTAGAAGAATAAGAATTTCAAAAGAATGAGTAGGTATTTTCCTTTAGACCAGTAGTTCCCAGTGTGGGGCACATGCCCCACAGGGGGACAATTTGATATTTAAGAGGGATTATTTTGAAATTTAAAAATGAATTATTAACAGTGAATTTTTTGCATTTCTTATGGTTCTAGAGGCCTCAGATACAGTATATAAATATATATTGTGACATATTTATGCATTTCAGTAGTTTGTATGTATTTTGAAACTTCACTTGCTATTTTTTCATATCACTTCATATTATTATTTTTTTAACAATTTCTTAGTGGTTTCTTCCTCAGTATTTCAACTGTCCTTTTGCTCTTTTATTTTTCTCTTTCATGGATGCCCTGTTCTTTGGAAGCTTGTTTAGAACAAGTTTATGGCCCTTTAGTCTTCCTCCACATGAATAGTTCACTTTTTGAATAAGAATTATAGGTCACAGGGGGGCATCAGGATTTTAGCCACTTAGGTGGGGCATGGCCCAAAACAGGTTGGAAACCACGGTTTTAGACTCTCCAAATACCTCTTTTCTAGTTCCTGTCTTGTTCCCATCTAGGCAATCACTGGGTTTCTGAGAAGCAATGTGCCACAACTCCAGCAAAATACCATGGATATGGGAATAATTTATCAAATATGTATTGAATAAGTTATATTTTAGATTTAAAAACAATATCTTATTACTATTACTTGAAAATAGAAGACAAAGAGAACGTCCGGCTTCATAAAAGTGTCTGAAGAATACCATAGAAAATTCAACATATCCCTCCATTACTCTCCTCGCCCTCACCCTGTCTGTTTGACTAGCTTTGGAGGTTGCAATAAAGGAGAGACAAAGGCCTTTTTAAAACTTCTTTGTGATTGTGTGGACAGGTCTGAAGAAAAATGAAGTCAAACTCTCCTAGGACTTGTGGTTATGGAAATTTCCATTGATTTAGCTGGATAGTCAGATGAGGAAGCAGTCTTCATAACATGGGCATAAAAATCAGAGTGTGACAAATGATCATTTACTGAGTGTGTATATTAATTTGCATTAAATGCTACATTTTTACATGTTATCCTTCTTATGTGTAATCTCCTAAAAGACAGGGGTGCGACCTTGTTGGTTTGGGGTCATATATAAAAGACCAACTGGACAAGACAAGGTGAAAATCATGTGAAGCTTAGTGACTGCTTTTTAAGAAAACTCGGTTCAAGGAATAAAGACATGCCTTACATAGTTTCTAATCTAGGGAAAAAAATGTGAATTATGCAATTGACACAGATTTTTCATTCTCATTTTTTGCCCTCTGTTTGACACCCCATCATCACCCTTCTCAGGGACTCACAATTCCTAGCTACTTACTGCCCCTGTCAACATCTATTTGAATCCTCATTGGCAAAAACAGAAGTTTACAATATTAACCCTTTCCAGGGTAGCTTTTCTTTTTATCAAGGAACCAGGACTGCAGCTAAGAATAGAGCCCTAACTGGGAGATTTCAGGCATCAACCAGAAGGGGAGGTATACTTTTAGGTGACATCCAGTCAAGGCCTCCTGGGTACATCCAGTACCACATCCCAAAGCCTAGTGCATGTTATGGGATGTTTATTTTTAGGTTACACAAGAGTGATCAAGGAGGCGGCCACCCAGTCCCATGACTATAGCGGGGGCTCCAGAAGTGGGCTGTGAGGTCAGATCTCAGCTCTTTGACATCCATACTATGTGATCATGAGCAATTCCCTTATTTTTTGGGGGCTCAGGTTTCTCATCTATAAAAAGACAGAGGTACCAATCTCATAGGGCCTGCGAGGAGATTAAGTGTGAAACTCTCAGCTAAGTTCCTAGCAGAGAGTAAGCTCTCAATAAATGCCAGCCATTACCATGACACAGAAGACAGCATTGTATACAAAACAATCAAACCCATGATCTGGAGACTCACCTCAAAGTAGCTTTCTGCTAATATTTTATGAGCATGCTACATTTGTGGTGTTAAACCAACAGTGTGGGTAGGAGAGAGAGAGGACTTAGAGATAAATGTAATTTTAGTTTAACTATGAGGGGTGGCAAGGCTGCAGCAGAACTCATCTGTAGTAGTGTTAGAGGTAGATCCAGCTCCTGTCCCCTAAGAAGCAGCATGATCTTCTCCTGGTAGAAATGATTTCTTTTTATTAGCCCTGAGAATATAAGAATTTCTAGCCTATGTTAGACCCATGCTTGGCTCCTAAAGACCACTCTGGCTTTGATAGTGAAAGTCAAGAACAGGATCACAGTTGTCCTGAACTCAGCATCAAATGTCAAGGATGTTTACTCAGTGTATTATTGGCTTTCATGCAATCATCTATAACTTTTCCTTCAAACTTGCCAAGAACAAGTTAGCTTTTGAGTCTGTAACAGCCCCCACATAATTGGGAAAATCTTTTTTGCAAAGATAGAGGTAGGAAAAGGCACCTTTAACAAACTCCTCTCCTCTTTACTCCAGAACTCTCTTCTTTTTCCCTCCCTCCGTCCTATCCTATTCTACAACTGGCTGAAGAAGGCAAACATGAGGCAGGCAAGCTTCAGGGGCGCTGGGTAGCTTTACACCTTAGCAGCTGTCTTCAGCACATACGCAGCTATCAGGACAATAAAACATTGCTCAGTGCCTCTACCCCACAACCAATTAGGTCAGCTGTAAATATTGGAATTGCTTGGTAAACATGCTGGGAGATTGTGCTGACTTGTTAATATAAGTGAAAATGCAATTAGATTTATAACACTTTTTTTCCAAACCATAATTTACATCAACAACAACAACAGAAGAAAAAAATTCACTTGCAACCTGCTGAAATATCATTATTAAAATGCACATGAAAAGTCAATTATGCCAGAGGGAGGCATTTAAGAGAAGTGCGTTTCCCTACCCTGGGATTATACCGTGGGGATTCCATATTTCTTATGTATTTATTTTTCCCTGAGATCTTTGCTGCTGCCAAATGAAAAGGAACAGATATTTTACTTATTTTACTCTGAAATATTGCTGCAGATAGTGCTAAAAGTAAACTAAATAACCTGGCTTGCTGGAGACCGGCTTTGCTCTCCTCCAAGCCCAGGGAAAAGTTGAGTCCTCACCGTTCTTCTTTATTTACAAGCCTGTCTCCCCTTAAGCAATGGTCATATTCCTTGAAACACATGGATATTAAATATTTTAACATTATTCTATTTTACCCTCTATTGAATTCTATGGAGAACCTTTATATAAAGGTGAGAAATAACCCATTGTCATTTTTTTAAAACATGGAGTTTCCTCTACTCCCAGGGTCAGACTAGGAGCACAGCTCTGTCCTCAGACAAGATGTCACAGGTGCCACCCCTTGCCCTCCCGGGCCAGGGGACACTGGCATCTGTGTGCTGGGCGGGGCTTTCTCTGCTGCAGGGCCTGTGTGGCAGGTGAGGCTCCACCCCTCTTCCACAGGCTGGGACTCTAAAACCAGTTCCAACTGTAACTCAGACAGTTTGCTGCCCCTCTGCTTTCTGGTTTCCTCATAACAAAATGTAGGGATTATTATATCTCATCTGCATTTAAGGAACCAATGGGGAAAAGCTAGTTCAAAAAAAAACATAAAGCAATTTATAAGAGAAGCTATCATTTTCAGTCTCAAATTTCTCCTAAAATATTCAGTTTAGATAATGGAAGAAATTTTCAATACATATTTTTTAGAATTGCTAGTACATATATTGTGGATAAATTACTCTTTGGAGGAAAATTCTGGTGTTTCTATGTAAGGATTAATAAAGTAAATCACATACACCTGTGCATATCCTATATATTAAAAGCCTAATATGCTAAGTGTCCAACCATTGGTTTGACCGTTCAACCAGTCATTATGATGTGCACTGACCACTAGGGAGCAGATGCTCCAGCTGGTTGGTTAGCTTGCTGTGGGGGTCTGGCAGATTGGGCTGGGGCGGGACAACCTCCCCTGGTCCCTCCCTGGCCTCTAAAATATTTCTTCTAATTAATATCCTTTCAATGTGCACGAATCTGTGCCCCAGGCCTCTAGTATGTATACATATATATGTATTTATATAATTCATTTTATACATTTATAGTTTATACATACTTTTATGTACATGCATTAAAATATAAATATTTATAGGAAGATCTACATGAGTCTGAAATGGAGAGTGGCAAACTTAGACTTTGATCCAAAGGAGTATCTTAATCCATTGGTATGGCTCAGCAATTGAGAGCAATGTGAATGGTCTTCCAACATAAAAATGTTCACAGTTTTTACTTATTTACTGATGTCATTATGATTAATATTTTTATATTTACATTTTATTACAAGTAAAGAGCACATTAATATCCCTAGCTCTTAAAATAATATTGCATGGAAAACCTTTTGGTACTGATTAGTTAGATTTGCTTCTGCTGAAATATTCTGCTAAATTTGATAGTCAGCCAAGTCTGGTACCTGGCTTTCACTCTGTTGGGGGGTAAATCTGAATACTGTTGGAACTTTCTAAACATCCCTGGTTTCAGCTTTTGCCCTCAGCATAAGTATTCAGCTGTCAGAAACATGGGTAATGTGTTTTCCTTTTTTCTCCCTTGAATTCTGTTTTATTCCTTTGAGAACCCATTTCTGTGGGTCAGTCTCAGAAACCAGTTTTAAGAGATTTAGAGATGGCTTGGAGGGAAAAGACATCTGGGAAGGATTTGTAGGGCCAGGTCAAGTATCTGTTTGGCCTGTGAGCTCAGCCTTCCAGAAACAGTTCTCAGCACCCACACACCACCCAAACTAATTGATTTTCATCTGCATCCCTTACGTTAACCCAGGAATAAGCTGTGAGGTGTGCGTGTGTGTGTGTGTGTGTGTGTGTGTGTGTGTGTGTGTAAATCAATGAACCCAGGCACATAAGCACGTAGGGCTCTAACTTCTCTATATGGGTTCTGTGTTGTTTTTTAACAGCTAATTTTTAGGAGAAAAGAGTAAACATGTTAAAGTGTAAAACATTTAGAAACCATCCTGGGTGACTTTATATTCATCTGTTTTTCAAAGTCAAAGGTCTATGTCAGATGACTGTTAATCTTAAGGGATATTTGGGACCAGGAAGAATGCGGGAGAAATACATTTTTATAATCCATATAAGCAGATTATCTCTAAAAATCCTGATTAGATTCCTCCCTGCAGAGGGTCTTTCAAAGTCTACCTTCCCACCGAGGATCTTCTCATTCTTGAAGGGAGGAGGAATAATAAGTAACTTCTGAGTGAGCATCGTTTTGTCATCTCTACCTACAGATCTGTGGAGTGGCCTCAGGCTCTTCTTCTTGCTGCCTATCTACTCTCTTTCATTTTTACTGCTTCATCCACTTAATCTTGTCATAGGATTTCTCCAGGTGTATTTTCCCAAGCCAAGAACTAACAGAAGAGTAGAGAGGGTCTGACACAATAGTTCCTGGGAGTATGGGTGTGTGGATGTAGGCATGCATATCAAACGTTCAGGGAACAGGAGCCTTTTTCTGATTGTATCCTGACCCATGATCTAGTACCAGCTCCTGGCTGGCTTTTCACACTGAGAATCACAGTGTACAAGGCTAGATGTTAATGATGGGAGCACTGAAGTTGAAAGGAAGCATTTCTCATGTATTCTATGTTTTGCCCCTAAAATAACTTGACTCTCTCTACTCTTTCCATTTAATTCTCATCCCAATCCAAGTCACCATCTTCTCTTGCTAGACTACTATTGAAATGGTGTTTGACCTGGTCTTCCCACATCCCCTTTTGTCCCTTCCTACCTATTCCTATATTATACTTGGGATGATGTATCAACAGTGAAGATTTGACAATATTGCCTCCCTTCAATGATCTTTCAGTGGCCTTAGGAATGAGATCAAAAGTGTTAACATTGCCCTTGATCATGTCTCCCATACCTCTCACAAAAGTCCCTTGAACTCAAATAATACTATCTTCTCTCACTTTCCCCAAATAAGCACCACACTTCTTTTTCTTGGGCCTATGCATATGCCTAGAATTGCTTTCCTTCTCACATTTGTCTAATAAATTCTTACTATGTTCCAAGGGTACTCCAAAACTCAACTCAAAATACCTTGGATTACCAAGATGCAAAGCTCTTTGTATTTCATTAACATTGAAAAGCAGTCCAGTATCTCATAATAAGGAATGAACTCCTTTCAAACAAAAATAAATCTCTCGTGTGGTCTCCTTATAAAGCTGATCTATCAATGAAATGTATATATTTTGATTAATGTCCAATTACTTGAAAGTAGCAGAAATCCTTTTAAAACAAAGACAAGAAATTTTCAAATAAGGAATAATGGAACACAAAATAGGTAAGGGAGAAGGTGATGTATGCCTTCTGGTGACACGGGTCAGGCAGTGGAAATCTGTGTGCCCTGAGGCGGCTACACACTGCCACTGGGTCACGGGAGCTGCCACATAGGCAGGATCCTCGGTACAAAGGCTCTCAGTAACTCTGATCTGCAGAATTTGGCTACTCCTGTCCTAGAGCCACATCCCAGCTCCAGTTCTACAAACTAGGTGACTAGATTCCCAGTGTCTCAGTTTCCCATTTCAGGAGGAAAGTATCTGATTGCGCCAGCTCAGTCAGATTCCCTGACTGGTCCAATCATATCCAGGAAGTGGCATCATCTGAAGCAAACTTGGCCATTATGTGGGGGCTAAGGCAGTTCTCAGGGAAGTAAAGAGATACAAATAATGGGCCTGGTAGAACACCTCAAAGGTTCTACTCCAATGAACACAAGAACCACAGTCTTAATACCTGAATACATTTCAATGCGCTCACATCAATTAGAGGACATATATATCATGTCCCCTACAGAGTACACAATGGTATAGTGAAAACTTGTGGTGCCCAGTTAGTAGTAAATCTGTTCTCAAAGAGCATGCATGTGATATGCAAGAAAAAATGAAGCACCAGTTCATTGAGAATGGATCACATAAATCAATTCACTGCATATTTACATCTAATATTTGGTGAGTGCCTTTGATGTATATCATGCTTTTACTAATTTATTAATTACAAAGTCACTTTGAGGGATGGGCCAGGTATTGTGCTAGAGATCAGAAAATTAGTGAACTTATAAGGAAGGCTTCCTGCAGGAGGCAGATCTTGAGCTGTGTTTGAAATGCCAAATGCTTTAACAACTGGCCTACTGTGACCTGCATGAATAACAAATAATTAGTACAAGGTGTAGCAAACCTGATGGGAAGAAAATGCAGGTTGGCTTTCCCTCACGTGAAATTTTCCTGGCAACTGGTAAGCCATCAGGCCTTTCCTCAAGTCGCTCTCTCAGGTCTTCTTGAAAGCCTGACTAGAATGGGCATTGTAAAGATTAGCTTATGGCGTAGGTATTTGTAACATTTTAATAAGACTTGGAAGCTTAGATGTTATTCGCTGCAGCTGCCAATCAAGTACCTGTGTGAAAGCAAGACAAACATAACAATAAATGCTAAGCACTCCAGTGTGCAGCGACGCTGGCAGGATGCACCGCAGGCTTTATGAACGCGTGAGAGTGAATATACAGAAGCTTGGGAAAAGGTCATTGGTATTTTTGGAGCAATAAATCAAGGATGCAAAGATTTGCATTTTGGCTGTATAACATACAGGGTTGGATTAGAGGGAGAGAATACTTTGAAGTAATATTTCTCTGCTGACTTGTTTTATTAGCTTCCTTTAAACATGTTACATTATTGCTTATAGAATTTCATTTACTCGGATTGGCAGCTTGATAAATACGTCTATTGGCGATGATTTGGATTGCTCTGGGCATTAATATTATTAAAACCTGTCACAAGGAAATGTCTGAAAGATGACTTACTGTAAAGATTACAGCATGAAATAAATCATCCTGTGGTATTTGTTACCATTTATGGCCTCTTGGAGCTGAGTCAATCCTTTTTTATGTTGCATTATTTTTCAAGTTTTTATAGCCTTACATTATATATTGCTGTCAGGAATGAACAGATGGGGTGTCGAACATGAGCTTTCTGAATAATTCCCACCCTCCAGTTATTTGTATGAAGGACAAGTGCAAAGCTGTGGGTTCTCAAGCAAAAAGGAGAGAGAACGAGGTGGAGAAGCTGCTGTTGAAACGGGATCCCTTTTGTCAGACTGTTCAGGCCAATTCCACTAGCTGGTTGGAATCCCTGACTGGCACTCACCCTGTTTGGGTTTCAAGCAAGAGCTGAGGTGGCTGTATTTGGCTCCAGAGAGACAACAAATGCCGTTCTCAAATGCATTTTCTCAGAGTGCCTCTTGTTGAGACACTTCCACATTTGGAGGTGAATGTGTCATACTGTCTTCCTCAAAAGCTGGGACATTTGTAAAAAAAAAAAAATATAACCACACAAAAACAGCAGAACAACAAGAAGAAAGACATATTGAAAAGAATTCGTATTCTTTGATTGAATGACAAATGTGTGAGCACCCTGTGGGGTTGCACAAAGGATTCTGTGCAATCAGAATTGTGCAACAATCTGAATGGTTAGAACCTACATACAAGGAATAAAAGAAGCCCATGGAGTTTTTGAGGCCCAGTATGAAAGAGGCAAGAACAGAGGTCTACAAGGCCTGTATACATTGAAGCCAGGTGTGCCCTTGGGAGTCTTTAGCTATTCTCCCTCCTCTGATGGGACCAGGCAGCTGCTTAATTGTCCCACAAGCCCCTCTGCAGAGTCCTAAGGCTCTGCCACCACTGGAAACAAGCTCACTAAAAAACTAAAAAGCCAACCAACTTTTTAAGAGGATGGGGGGGTGGAGTTTGTGTGAATTTTCCTCACTTACCTACCCTATCCACTACTATATCCATTCTGAGCATTCTATAAAGTACCAGCACATTGCAGAGGAGCACATAATAGGCACAGAAACTCAGTGACTGGCATTCAATGCTTACTGTCTCAGGACTTTGAGTGAGTTGCTTGATTTCTCATCATTGTGACATGTGGATTAGAATATATTTTTTCTGCTTAACTCACACCATTTCTGTGAAATGTCAAATCATACAATAGACACACACACACACACACACACACACACACGTCTTAAAGTTTACTGATTGCTCCATCTCTCAAAGATAGGTATTTTAATCATTATGGTACAACCATTCTCTAACCTTCCCTCCTATAAAGTCTGCATTTTCTTGAGTTTATCACTGTCTCTTACTCCTCTTACTCATCTCCTCATCTCCAGGTCCCCTAATGTCAAGCCCTCCCTCCACTGTCTCTTTAAGTTGTTACCTTACTAGGAGTGATTTATATACAAATCATCGGAGTTTTAGCAGCCCCTACCCAAGACCATTCTCTGATACTGTACCTCTGACTCTCTTGTCCCCCATCTCTTCTTTGTCATCTTCCCTAGGACTTTTTATATGAGTTTCTGTGTGTTAGTTTGTCTCATTTGCATGAAGATGCCATCTGGATACACCCACACAGATGTTGACATTCACCAGTCACACCTGAAAGAGCCACTGTGTCATTTTAGGCAAAGTTCACAGCTTTGCTGTCTTTCGTTTGAGATCTCACTCTCTAGCAGCACAGGAAGTTTTCTGTCATTAACCCAGGGAGAGAATACTATAGGATACATTTCAGAGAGTTGAAAAGTTGATAAAGGCAGTCACTGTTAAACAGAGTTGAATTTCTGTATCTCTGTAAGAAATACCTAGCATTATCTCTCTCTCTTTTCACTATTGCCCCTCACAAAGGAACATTTGCATAAGCCCCATTCACAACCAAACGAAGTTGGCAATGCTGAGCCTCCATAGTCTAACCAAACACAAATTTGTAACTCTTAAAGCTTACATCTGTCTATAAAGATATTCAGTTCTCATTTTTTATGTCTCCTTGTCTCCTCCCTACTCTCCCTCCTTTATTCTATTTCTCCCTTCTTTTCTTCCTTCCTTATTTTGAAATGCTGTTTACTTTTGCTTCTCCAAAGATGTCCTGATTGAGTCATCAAAGTTCTTAGCTTCTTTTGAATAGGCACCATGATGTCTGTGTTTCCATATAAAGGATCTCCCTTGTCTCAGAAGAGACCATGATTCCCTAATGTAAATAGTCAGGGAATTACACATTCTGTACTCTGTCATGGACCTGCCTTTGATGTTCTCTCCCACTCCTATGATGAGAAAACTCTTATGCTCGCCAATTTCCCCATTAATCTGTTGCCTTCTATACAAAGAGAAGCGTGGCACTAAGCTTGGAGTTTGGCTCTCCTATTCACTGGTAGCCCCGTAATTTCTCTAGTCTAAATCCCCTATGTATAAAATTAGATAAGAGATAGATATGATCATCTAAATGTCCTTCAAGATTTAAGTTATCATTCACTCCTGTCAGTTGCCATAGCTAGAAACGTCCTCATAGTAACTGATTTCTCCTTGTGCTTTACCTTTTCTGGAGAGAAAGGATTCCCCTGGTGATAATTACCAGTGTCTTTCTCTGTCCAATTTCAAGATAATACCTAATTCAGAGTTTACAGATCCTTCTCCTCTTTGTCTTAGCTGTCATTACAAAAGTTATCATAAATCTACTAAAACCATTAAGCCATTCATTAAACTAGCTTAAAGGTGTGTGTGTGTGTGTGTGTGTGTGTGTGTGTTGTGTCGTGTCAGATGTGGGGTCAGGAAGAGATGCAATATGACCCAAACTGCATGACATAATAAAGCTTCATAGTAATATCTAATTACTGCAACTCACCTCTTTATTATTAATTCCCCAATTCCAGCACATAAAATAATTTAATCATTTCAGAATTTGCATGACTAATGGAGTAAATTCTGATAGAATAAGGATAAGTTTCATAATTAGGTTTTGCCGGGAACTTGTACAAATCAGTCTATTTATAATTTGGTCAGTTCTTGATTTTTAATGAGGGCATTGAGAGTGACTGAAGCCTCTGGCAGCATTCACTTTATATTTTAATTACCCACGGTAATTCTGACAATTACACACATGTCATAAATCACATCATAATGACCCATGAAGAAAGTATATTTAATTATAGAAGGGGGAGTTCTCAGATTAAACAGGTAGATGGGATGTGCTGAGATGTGAACCACATTTGAAAGCTGAGCTGCCTGATACTGTGACATGGAAGAACCAGACTCTGAAACTTGCATTATAGAGAATAAGGCCATTGTCAAATGTCCAGTTTTAGCTTTGGCATATAAAAAAGCTTTGAAGTCATCACTCCTGCCCTTACAACAACAAATAACCTGTTCAGATCAGAAATTAAAGATTTTTCTTCGCCCATCAGAAAACTGAGGGCAAATCATCACCCTAAAATGAGGAGAGTCACAGGGGAGCTCTGGTTCCCTGGAGTTGGGACACTTACATGGTAATTTTGATGAATTACTTCAGGTTGAGTGTGGATGAGATGCTGAGTGCGAACCTCCTGAGGGCTATACGCTTAGTAGGACCTCCACACTGGGGAGTTTTACCTCCAGGAACTCTACCCAGTTGTCTTAATGAAGAGCCAAGAACAATGCCCTCAGTAACTCAGGCCTAGGTAATGGAACACACCCAAGGAAATCTCCATAACAAAAGCCTGCTCTGCAGGGAAAAAGATGTTACCAATGCCTGACCTTGGGTGAAGGTGTGGCATTTCTCCCACTTCACCCCCTTCTGGCCTTCCAGTGTCACCTGAGGGGTGACAGCTAAGATACACTTGTGAAGATCACAGCCCTAAGATACAGACTCCACTGAGAAACTGAGATTTAATCACAAAATTACACAATGTTCCCTCCCACAATTTACTACCTTACTAGCAGGGTTCCAGTTTAACAACAGTGAATTATTGTTGAAAGAGCCTTAAGATGCAGACTAATCAAGAAAGAGTTCCTAGAGAAACCCATAGTCAATAAAGGAGACAAATCAAGGGCACTAGAGCAATTTGAAACCTATGGAAACTACAACTACAGCAAACATTAAATATGGTACAATTGCTAGCCAGATTAACATAAAATCTCACACTACAGATCTATTTACACTTTAGTTCCTATTATCCAGTACACAATATCTCATTGTAAAAGAATTATAATGCATCCTAGAAGACAAGAAAAAAACTCTATCTGAAGAAAAAAAGCAAGTATCAGAATGAGACTCAGATATGACATGATTTGGGTATTATTAGATGGAATTTAAAAGGAGTATAATTAATATGTTAAGGGTTTTAATAAAAAAGGTAGACAACATGGAAGAACAAATGGGTAATGTAAGCAGAAAGATGAAAACTCTACAAAAGAATTAGCAAGAAATGCTAGAAATAAAAAAAAATACTGTAAAAAATTTAAAAATGTCTTGATAGGCTCACTGTAAACTGGATAGAGTGGAAGAGAGAATAAGTGAGCTTGAAAACATGTCATCAGAAATTTCCCAAACTTCTATGGAAGAGAAAAAGGAAGGGTTAAAAAAGAAAAACAGAAAATACTGAAGAAATATGAGACATTATCAAAATGTGTAGCATGTGTATAATTGGTATTTAAGGAGAAAAAAGAGAGAATGGAGCAGAAGAAATATTTAAAATAGTACTGGCTGAGAATTTTCCAAAATTGATGACAGCAAATTACATATTCAAATAGCTCAGAGAATTCCAATATGATAAATAACAAAATAACTACAACTGGGCAAATCATTTTCAAACTGAAAAAAAAAAGACAAAGAGAAAATTGTGAAAGAAGCTGGGGTGGGGGGAGGGGGAAGGGGGAGAACACACTACCTATGAAGGAACAAGGGTAAGAATTACACGTGGGTGAGGCAAAGGTAGGTTTATAGTGTGAGTAAAGTGGAACAGTTTATTCTTGTATTCTTATTTATTAATGTATTACTTTATATACAAACAACTGTACATCTACTTTCAAAAAATAATTGATTTTTAGAGAGAGGAAGGGAGAGGTGTAGAAAGATAGAAACATTAATGAAAGAGGAAGTCATCTATTGGTTGTCTCCTGCATGGCCCCAACTGGGGATCAAGCCCACAATCCTGGGCATGTGCCCTGACCAGGAATCAAACTGGCAACCTCTTGGTTCCTGGGTCAATGCTCAACCACTGAGCCGGGCAACTGTAAACCTACTTGTGCCCCACCTATACAGTGATCTTTTTTGTCAGAAACCGTAATAAAGTATTGAAAGAAAAAACCCCAACCTAAAAGTTTATGTTTAGGTGAACTTGGGTTCGTGGATGAGTTTTTAGATAAAACACCAAAAGTACAGCCTATAAAAAAAGTTGTAATGTTAATAAGTTGTGCTTGATTAAACTGGAAAACTTCTGCTTTTCGAAGGATGCTGTTCAGAAAATGTGAAGACAAGCCACAAATTGGTAACAAGTACTTGCAAAATATGTTTTTGATAAAGAGGTTGTAACAAAAATAAAATCTCTTAAAACTCAATAAGGAAACAAAGACTCCAAATGAAAATGGGCAAAATAACTGAAAGGACACATCAACAAAGAAGATATACTGATGGAAAATACACATATGAAAAGATCTCGTTATGTGTCATTACAGAATTGCAAGTTAAAACAACAATGAGATACCACTACCTACCTATTCATATGACTAAAATTCAACAAACTGACATACCAATTGCTCCTAAGGATGCAGAATAACAAAAACTCTCATTCATTGATGGTGGGAAAGCAAAATGGCAGTTACTCTGAAAGGCAGTTTGGTGGTTTCTTACAAATGAAACACAGTCTTACCATCCAATTGAGTAATTGTGCTCCTAGGTATTTACCCAACTTCTTTCAGAAGTTATGCTCACATAAAAACCTGCATGTGAATGTTACAGCAACTTATTCATAAACACCAAAAACGGCAAGCAGCAAAACGATCCTTTAATAGGTGAATGGATAATAAACTGTGCTGTATCCAAAGAATAGAATTCTATTCAGCAATTTTAAAAAATGAGCTATCAAGTCACAAAAAGGCATGGATGAATTTAAAGTGCATTTTGCTAAGAGAATTCTGTATGAAAAGGCTACATACTGTATGATTCAAATCATATGACATTCTGGAAAAGGCACACTATAATGATAGTAAAAACAAGTCATTACCTACCCATCAAAACTTAGGCTAAATGGTTGCCTATAAACAAGATGAAATTTGTGTATGTTTTGAAACATAGCATGACGTCCCATTTGTTCTCCAGTGAATTTGTTTTACTGCAGGAACATATATTTTTTTCAAAGAATTTCCAATACTTTTGCCTTTGTAAATGTTGATATCAACATTGAAATGAGAAAAGCAGGCAATATTTGCTTGCTTTCAAGCCTTCTCATAGGATGCTATCTATTCATTGGGTTATTTGACACATTAGAGTCTGATTTTCAGCTTGATAGACTTTGATTTGCCCTTCCAGGAAAGGATGTATACCAACCAAGTGGTCATGTTACTTTATAATAAAACTATAAATGAACTTAAACTCTCAGGCTGGCATGACCAAAGCATTCCTCCTTATTCACAGAGCAACAACGACAACCGGATGTTGATCAAGTTACCAAGCTTCCTAAAATAAGGTAATTGCAGGTTTGCTGTAAGCGTTAGCAATAACTGTGAAGTGCCTCGTACAGAGCCTTCCATGTATTGCTTACTCAATACACAGACCTATTACAGAACAGATTATGATTTGAAATTTGCCTGGAGAACATGCAATTAGAGCAAAATGAGTTAGTTGAGTGATTTTTATGCTAATAAGATGCCTGTTGCATCTGCATGTCTGAACCAGAGTCATGTTTCCAACCTGTTGCTACATTAGTTTGAGCCCAGGAACAAGGGAAATGTTTTCTATTGGAAGAGTTTAGATAGGTGATATTGACTCTGGCTACTCTTTCATTTCCTAGGTTAAAGGGAGTTTATTTAGAGAACATTTCTTCAAAAATAGTATTTATTCATTTCATTTGCTAAATAACAATCATATTCAACCTACTATCCTAAACATTTGTCCATTCCCCTGGAATCTGGGGACTTTACCTAATCTCTTAGTTTGTTCTCATCTATGGTCAATGGTGCTCATCATGTGTATTTATTACTCTAAATGTTACCTGTTATTATTTTTTAGAGGAGAGTGCATCTCACTGTAATCACCATATACCTACAAGTAGATATGAATTTCCATAAAAGTGAAAGTTATAAGGAAGTTTAATTTTATTTTTGAGCTTGAATTTCTTAGTAATAAGAGAGATGGTATGGACTTACAAGTCTCTTAAATCAATAGCATGTGGCAACAAAACTGGCCAAGTTTAAAGATTCAATGAATAGCTATCATCAGTTGCTCCAGTCTTCAATAAGTACGTCAACAAATATTTATTAGGAATTGCCTGGATGTCCCAGTAATGTCAATATGCCAGACACTGTGCTGGAAGCTAGATCACATATAGGATCTTTGTTCTCATGGAACTCAATCAAATATATAGAGGTTCTCTGTAAGCCTTATGGAGGAAATTTCAGTAGTCCCTCTTCTCCTATAAATCTCAATGTGACATGCTGTACTCTAATAATTGCAAGGTATTTTCAAACTCAGTGAGTCAGACTCTTGGAATGAATCATTCTGCATAGCTTTACCTAGGACTTATCTAAACATCATTATTTTTTAAATTTTTTAGATGGAAATAATCCTAGAAACATTGTACGTATTTTACTGATTCCTTATGAAAAAAAAAAAAGTATTGACTATAAAACTTCTATATTATTCAATTACCATTAGTAATTATATATATATTATGGTACACATGACATTTATACTTAATTGAATTAGAGGGAAATTTGACACAATAGGAAAATTGGAATACTGTGCTTTGTCCCTTCTTGTGGTACTTTTTAATGAAAACTTTATTGATATAATAATTTACATACTATAATATTTACCCTTTAAACTGTACAACTCAGTGGTATTTAGTCTAGTCACAGAATTGGGCAACTATCATGATTAAGTTCAGGACAGGTTCATCACTCTCAAAAGGAAACTTCATAGTCATTAGTAAGCACTTCTCAGTCACCCCCGCCCATATCTGGCAATCACTAATCTACTTTGTCTTTATGAATTTTCTTATTCTGAATATATCATAACAAAAGTACATGGCCTTTGGCTCTGGCTTCTTTTACTCAGCATCATGTTTTCAAGGTTTATCTAGGTTGTACCATATCTATTCTTTATTCCATTTTATGATTGAATAATATTTCATTGTACCGGAATGGATTTGTTTATCCATTCATCAGTTGATAAACATTTGGGTAGTTTGTTTTCTAGGCTATTATGACTAGTATTTTAATGAACATTTATTTATATGTTTTTGTATGAATACATGCTTTTTATTATCTAGGAATAAATAATACCCATTTTTAAATTGCATTGTCTTTTTGTTAGGTTATGACAACTCTATGATACCATTTTGAGAAAATACTAAATTATTTTGCCAAGTGGATGCTTCATTTTGCAATTACACCCTTAATGTGTGAGAGTT